GAAACAGTATTGTCTGATGATGGCATTGTTTTTTTGGCCTTTTCCCCAAGCATTGCAACAGCTATATCAGCTGCATCAGGAAGAATTAAGCTCTCCACCATAGTATGGGGTTTTCCCGTCTTAGCCACTCTGGAAATCACCATGTAGGATGCTTCCAGACCCTTCCTAATAAGGTTTTCTGATGCTGGTATAAGGGCCCTACTACTCCTGAGTTGTCTTAATTGTCTTTTGAAACTCTCTTGAAGTTTATTTTTCCAAAGTAGCATGCTTTGTTTCTAAATGCCTGTGCAAAAATTTTGGTTTCATGCAGTCATGGGAGAGTACTTTTGCACATATAACACACTGTGGCTGGGGTTTTTCTTCACTGCCAATGTATGTAAGCCCAAAGAAATATATTTCTCATAATATTTACATCTCTTTGATGGTATTTCTGTGAATTGCTGGTGAAGGTGAGGTGGCATTTTAACTTCGAACGCATTGCTGTCAGTATCAGTGTGAACCAGGCTAGTACCAGTGGGTGAACTCACACTTGCTTCTGATGCGCTGTTAGAGGGACCTGGGGTACTACTGTCAGAGGATTGTGGATCAGCTGAGCTGGTGGGAGTTGACCTTCTCTCTGTGGCTGCAATCTGAGTTCTTTGTAGCCACTTATCCATTTTAATCTTACTCACTATTACTTTGCTTCGTTACCTAACCATGTGCTGGTGATAAATGACGTGGTAAGATGCGCACTTACGCATGATGCTTGAGTGGATGCATTTTTGACTGCAAAAGATGGGGTAATTTGATTGGATGTCATGTATTTGACTTTTTATGGCACTACCATTTTGCTGTTTGTACACTAGTGGGGGCACAAGTATATATTTTGCCTATGAGAATTACATGCTCAGTTTGAATGTTATTTTAGAGTGGGGTAGAATTCAATGAACGGTAAATCTCAGCATTTTGTCACGTACCCCCTCTGTCACCCCAGTTTGGGAACCACCGGCCTAAGGTATCCAGACTTTCCCCTACAGAAACTATGCTGCTCTCACTCTCGCTAACCTTCTCTAGAGTCTGGATGCGCACCTCCAATGCTGCAATCTTCTCCATCAGAGAGCTAATTAATATACACATCACAAATAAAGCAACTACTAATGACAGAGGAAGAATGACTAAACATCCTGTACTTAACACACTGAACAAGCTGAATGATTGCCATGTTGAATGTTAAATGTACCTTAGTCCAAGATTTGTTGAGATTATTTTAGGCAGATCTGACCTGGATGGCCTCTGCTTGCTGCCTTTAGCATGTCTAAGCATGGAGAGCCCTGGCATCAGGCAAAACAAACATTTCAATTCTCTGCAGAGAGCAGAATCATTAATGTTTTACAAACTGACCATGCATCAGAATTAGACACTGCATTACATTTACATTTACATTACATTTATGGCATTTGGCAGACACCATTATCTAGAGCGACTTACAAAAGTGCTTTGAAGTCTATCAAAAATACATTCTGATACTGGCTTGCTAGGTCACAAACTAGGAATACCATCAGTCCAAAAACTCTGTTGGGGAGGTAATAGACAAGCGCTCAGACAATACAATTTTTTTAAGTGCTAATTTAAGTACTTTAGGAACAATTGCTTAATCTTTGTCATAAGGACAAGAAGGGCATGGGAGTACTCTTGCAGAGATTCTCTTTCCAACTGGTTTCAACCAAAAAAAATTTCAAGGCAATGCAAGATGTGAAACCCCCATACAGCTCCTTAAGAACAGACAGAATCTTTTGCGGGTCTTCCCTCTCTGTCCTAGGCCTATACCTTATTTCACTTTATTTCACCTCCCCTTCTAGATGGTCAAGCATGAAATTGGCTTGATCAAGGTACCATAAATGTCAGACATGAATGCTAGCCTGTACTTCCTCAATCCACTCATCAATGCTGACACCACTACTGCCTCTAAACACTGGGCATTTTAGGGGAACCTCTCAGCAGGGGCAGCATTGGAAACAGTCACCTGAGGGCCAGAAACAGTTTTACTGGGGCCCACTTGGAGCTGGTCTGTTGTTTGCTCTTGTAACAGATGCCCATTGTCTGCCTAAAGCTGGCACACTCAGTTCTTGGTGCCCAATGGCCATGGCTAAGATACAGGGGAGAAATCATTTAGCTGCAGGCTGAAACAGGACATGCATACTGTAGACACCCAGCTGTAAGTTTCAGAGACTTGTTTATGAGTAACACAGACATGTTTATGAGTTGGTCTGGCAAACTTAATGTTCAGATAGAAGCAACATACACTGTCATTTTAAAAAGGGATCAAGATTATTTTAAAAGAACACAAGATTTATGCATTTATCAATGCAGAGTTCAAATCCATTATACAAAATATATGGCAGTGTATAGCAAACTCACAAGCAGAACAATCGCACTGTATGTAATTTAACTGTTAAAAAAAAAATTAACAAATAAAACATTGTAACCATTATGGAGCATTGATCAGAATGCATGAGAGTATTGAGTCACATGTATATTTATTTCCTGAGCAGTAATTTGCCAGACAATAATTGCCATCAGGTATAAGGGTGTGTGATTCTGCAACTAAACAAGAACAACTGACAGTCATATTAAGACACAATCAGAAACAGATTTCATAGTTTACTGTAGCCATAGTACATCAAGTCTAAACCTAGCTATTATCACACTAGCTGAGAGCTAATTATCAAGAAAATAGGCTACTATATTCTTAGAACACCTACTACAGTCTGACCTACATCTTACTTGTAATATA